CTCCCAACAGAGTTCCTTCATGCTGTGGGGAACATTTTCGATGAAAAGGCTGGAGATATCTTTGAGCGAAGACTCTCTCATGGCCTGCAAGATATCGATTTCGAGGCTGTGGCATCTTTGTGGACGAGATCATATTGGCGAAGAATCTGGATTATGCAAGAGTATGTCCTATCGAAGAACATCCTGCTTTTGTGTGGTAGCAAGCAGATCAGCAGCCATGTTTTCGAAGATGCTCTCAAAGCAATTCAAACGCCCTATCTTTACGGCTTGTCTCGGATCCTCCCTGAAGAATCATTCAACGGCATAGCGAAGTCCAAACCCCCAAGTTCTGTATCGAATCTCATTGCTCTCAGAGCTACTCAGTCCGCTAGTCATTCGGCCGACTTTGGTTCGCTTTGGGATCTAGTTCTTGCCACTCGAGAGCATAATGCATCAAATCCGCTGGATCATATTTATGGTATTCTTGGTTTCTTGGAAACAACTTTCTACCCGATATCGATTGACTATAGTCTCTCACCTGGCGCACTATTCACTCAGATCACCGAGCAATTTCTAAAGGACCCTTCAATCGGACTGAAAGTTGTAAGCTTACTGGGGACTGGAGTTCAACCAAATGAGAATATCTTATCTAAGCCTTCCTGGGTGCCAGACTACTCTAACCCGGCTTGCCTATTATCTTCCGGTGATGATTTTGTTGACTGCTCAGACTGGCCTATCTCGAGCACAATTAGCATTAATGAAACTCACCTCTTCGCCAAAGGAGTAATATGCGACAAGGTCGCGAAAATTCTGAAGTGGAATGAGGACCCAGTCTCTACCTTTGACGAATGGTTACTGGAAGCCATCAATCTTGGAGCTATCCATCCTACAGGATTACCCTCACTGCAAGTGTTCTTTCGAACCATGGCTGTCGATAAGTCTGGTAATGGTTATAGCATCAACGAGTTCCGATCTGACATGTATCGCTGGGCCTACTATTCACAAGCAATTGCTTTTATGGAGGTGCTTTCGTGGTCAGCCAGGCGAAACTTGGGAGAGAAGTTACCTAAGACCACTGAAATACCTGAGCGAACTGATGGCTGGATATCTCTTCTATCAAATTATCTGGAATCCGGCCAAGTTGAAAACTTTCTTTCGCTGAGTGAAGTAGAAGTGTCTTGTCAAATTCGTGGATTTGCGCTTTGGTTGGTTACCGGACCGCTGCAGCTAAAACAGATCTCCCTTGATTATATACTGGAATCTTTCACCGGACATCAGTCGTCGGCTTCGCATGTCTCTTGGCCTGATAAGGTTGATTCAGAAAACTACAGCTCCACACAGTTCTGGCAAGATTACATTATACGATCTAGTGTGCGTAAGGATTCTTTCTTCACTACCCCAGAGGGATATTTCGGGCTTGGTCCTCAGACCATGCAACGGGATGATCTGGTATGCTGTATGCCAGGTTGTCCATATCCCGTTGTGGTGCGACCTATCAAGTCGGAATCACAAAGTGACCAAAGTGGACGACGTTTGGAGATCATTGGCGCTTGTTATATATATGGCATGATGAACGGTGAAATGTCCAATCATCCTACATATGGCCAAAGTACCGAGCAGTTGATATTTAGATGATGCTATAAGCTAGTAATCATCTGAATATTGCATGAGTTACGAAAGTCTCTACGTCTAACAATACTGATCGCGGTCAAGCATCGCCTGCTAGAATTTGAATAGACACAATATTTGTATTCTTTACTGGTAGTCCATCAATAGCATGGCAAAATAAATGGCGTTCTCCCGTCAACTCTGATGGCTACCACCAACGCTGTCAAACAACAGATGCCATATTTTCAATTGGAATCGACCAAACATTCAAGTCAGAACGGCCTTTATGGTAAATAAAGCACTCAATTAACGGGGCCCAGCGTCTGGGAGCCAGCCAGGCTGACGGGAGCGCGCCATTTATTTTATCGGCCAGTTGACCATGTCTTCTAGCTAACGATATAATCTTTGATTAGTGCCTGGCCAAGTCTCAATTTGGCCTCAATCCCGGATGGACAAGTGGCTTGCAACATCAATAAATAACATGTCGGCTTTGGCATGGGAGGCAACACATGAGAAACACCCAATGCATTTGGTGCACCTCGACTGCTATACGTTGATCCGCCGCCCGATTTTGCTGTTGGCACAGTTCCAGTTGCTATATCGAGATTTGAAGTCGCCCTTCGAAATACTTCGTAGGCTGTCTGTGGCTGATACCATGGGACAGAATGGCCTAGTTTGATCATGAGCGATTACCCAATTCTTGTGATCAGATTTTGGAGTGCTATTTTCGGCCACTTACCTGCCTGGAATACGAGAGCAAAGCTCAGCCCGTTATGCTGTCTAACGGAACCTCCGGTATATGAACTATTTGTTTTCAGCTCCCCATATCCAGCAGATTTAAACTCGGATTTCTCCCGGTGCTTAATTGCAAGGCTAACAGTTTCACCACCAATCCAATTGCAGGTCTACAAGCGGTTAGCTGTGCTTTGTTGCCAGCATAGTGGACATACTCCATCACGATCCCCGTACATCATATGAACTTTGATACCATTATCAAGAAGATACGCGAGATCATCCATAGGTCCTGGTCGATTCATGTCACCTGTCTTGGTGAAAACCTGATTCACGCTTTCGATTACTTCAGTATAGTTCACTGGGACACCCAGGGCCTTTTGGACGTCTTGCCTGGCCAGATAACCGATCATATAGGGATGGGGGTCTGGATCTGATTTTGATCTCGTCAGCGACTTGCCAGTTGCGCCTCAAGAATGCCTACCCTGAGTTGGTGCTGCTATGTCATAGGCACTTCGATCACCAAATCTAGGCCCAGAACAAGACTGAAAGGCTGACATGCAAACACTGTTCACCTGAGAGTTTGCGCCAGTGTTCTCGGGATCACTGCCCTCCACAGCTTGCTTGCATCGGACTAGTGCAGATTGGCACGATGGCCAACCTTGTTCTGCCTGGCGTACTGCAGCTTCGTTTACGATACGCAATCCGAATGTATTGTTGTAGGCATATTTGGTAGCAGAGATTCCTTCCGTGAGTTTGTCAACACAGCCAGCTACTATACCTAAAGCATCCAAGTTGATAGGCTTGTAGGCTTTATTCTGCAGCTTGCCCGCTTGTATCTTCTCGTTCTGCCGCTGGAAGAATGCCGCGCTCCGCGGTCCATAGCGCCCGCCGTAGCTTTCACTCCAAATTGACACTCGGCTATCAGAAGATTTGCTTTCAGGAAAGTCATTCAAAAAGACCTGCATGGCATGCCATAGTGCTTTGGCTGCATTAGCTGAAGTGTTTGTAGTTGTTGCGTAGTTGTTGCTCGGGAATGTCCCGACAAGCATTGAAGTCGTTTGCTTAACATTCTTGCCTCTTTTGAAATTAGGGATTGATAATCTCGACAGTCTATCCGTAAACAAATCAAGAGTTCCGTTGACAAGTCGATCATAGCTCAATCCGGATTGCACCGGCTGGTCAATATATCTTCCAAACTGTCAGCCAGCTTAAGGTCAAATAAGAATCAGCATCATAGCTTACAGCATGTTCACTTCTCGATTCCAAGACCAAGGATTTAATCTTGTGCTTCTGGAGTCGGCATTCACAAAACATGGACCATTTTCTTGGAATATGCCCTTGGTTGAAGATGCTCCAGGCCCTCCTGAGATTTGTCAGTGTCAATAAGAGGATCTTTGATTAGCACCTCTCACCTGTTAACCAAACTCCTAGAGGAGCACTTCCTGGAGCTTTCCTTGCTCTGAAATACCAAAAGAAGAGGTTGATATCATAGTTCTGAGATACTCCAGTGTCCTGCAGTGATCCCGCGGGAAGTTTTATATATCCCGAATAGGACTTGACTCCTGGTGTAGTTTCACAAAGGCCCGGCTAGAATGGCGGATTAGACTTAATACTAGAATGCTTTTTTCCCTATCATATACCTCTTTGTATTGAATTCGGGCCCCGGTAATTACTGAAGAATTAAGAACTGTGACGCCATCAGGAGCGGGAGGATATTGGGCAGAGACTGTATTCAGCAGCCACAACACTAATAGGCAGAGAAACGGCATTTGAAATGTGCATCTGCACAATGAGAGACCTCTGCCTTTTGATTGCGTGTTGCTGTGCTCATTTTCATCTGGCATTTCGAAGTTGCCTCCCTAAATGATATAAGATGTGGGTCATAGCTTATACTATCAATCAATATACTTGTAGTCAAATGGCTGGAGGTCAATTGCTCTTTATCAACGAGTGCCCTGATTCGTCATTTTAAAAGATCACTCATTTAGTCAGACGTTGCCTCATGTCGCTCATAGAAAGATGTATCGATTCTACACGTCGGATAACGCTTTCATTCTACGTACTAGTAACTTGAGTATATTTTAAACAAAAGAATGACAGATGTCTATGACCTAACAAGCTGAGATCTTCGGACATGTCGTTCATCCGAGGGAGTAACTCTATCCATTGGCAGCCGAATGCCTGCGTTTTCGAGACTTCTTCTAATAATTTAAAATATCAACCACACTAAAATCTGTAGCTTTCGTCACAGTAATCGATTCGAGCGACCTCAGGAGATTCAAGATACTAAGTAGTCGCATTTCTCGCCAACCAATTTGCCGAGATCACAGGGCTCCGTTTCTCTTGCCTTATGTTCACATTCTCTATGCGTGATGTTGTATTTGTTACGCTTGATCCTATCTTCTTCAAGAGTATTCGTTAAACATGTCTGGAGTAATGAGGATCTCAAATAGATGTTAATGTTCATACATAACCAACCCAAGCAGTATGACTATGGCAGTGCGTCGTACTAGAAGCGGAAGCTTTCTGAGTGTACAATATTTATTCGTACAGAGATCATGAATAGAACAGGTTGTGTAGATGTGGCTTATCTTGGACAGAGGACATTTTTTGGAATTGCATAAATGTAGCTATATAATGAGTGCAAGCAATTTCGTTCCAACAATCATCACAAAAACGGTCGTTTGGTCTAGTTGGTTATGACGTCAGCTTAACATCCTTTAAGGTCGCTGAAGGTCCTGAGTTCAATCCTCAGAATGATCACAATTTCTTTTTTGGGCGCTGCCCAGTAAGGAGATCCCGCTTTTTGCTCTTATTTACCTTTGAGCAGGAAGGATGTTTTTATAAGGTTTCACAACGCTATTGAAAATGGTGAGCAGATGTGCAGCTTTGTTTGTAGAGTACGGAGTAACTTTGAGTAGACGCGCTTTGTTCAGGAATTGTGACCAGACAGTAAGGTCTAATTAGTTTTATTTTTCAAATTTTTGATCCTTCTAGAGGCTCTATTCAAGTAGGGAATGTACTCTAGAGTAGCTTCTTTGTTTTCGTGAGAGTGTCCAATACTACATAGCCACATCGCGCTGTACAAAGCTCAGAGAAGAAGCCGCTCCTTTATTGCTAATACTAGTACAACATATAGTATCTTATGGGCAGAACAGCTTTGTTTTTTCAGATCATGAAGCTTTCTCTCCACCTATAAATACTACGTACGGAGTAGAACACTGAACATGAGAAAGCTTTGAATTTACTAGAATCGGTACCATTAGAATTAGAGTCCAAATCGTTGAGATAGCAAGTAGCGGGATCAAGAAAACTATTTTGACAACAGAAAGACATTCTAAATCATTTGTTAATTCAAGGAAACTCTCCATTTCGCCCCATTCTGTGTTTTTGAATTAAAAATCGTCCCGCGTCCATGAGAGTTGATGTCAGGGCAACAAGTCACGATCATGCTAGCATCCCAACAGGAACATTTCCGCTAGCCAACATCTCCCAACAGTAATGAGATCTCGACTGGAAATATATCCGGCAGACTATTTTCATAGCCATATGACACTGAGCGGGCATATGAGCATCACGGGTAGTTCAAATACATTGCCTAACATCATCCAATTGCTATAAGCCAGTTAAGCAGCCAGCAAGTCCTGAACAGCTCTAGAGGCGCGACCGTGATCTAATCTGAAACCCTAGAGGCGAAAGGGTAATTGTTATGTTTTAATGGTAGCTAATGGTTGTTTACTTCGTATGTTCATAAGCCACCAAACCCCTTTACTGGTATTGTTGCAGCAAACGATATACGCAACTATCCAGTTATCTTTGCTATAATGGATATTGAAGTAGGTTACCGCTTTCATGAATGCTTCCACCTACAAATCAGGCTAGAATCTAGACTTTTTGGACAGCGCTGTAGCAGTGACTCGCAGTCCAACCTCTCAGTAGAGGTCACTAACTACCGCACGGGCTGGATCGACCCTAAATAGTGAATATCACGCTCTATATAATGGTCCAGCACAGCGCTGTCTGGGATAGCCTTTTTCTACTTACTATTTACTTACCTTACGTCGTACTTTCGTTATTATACTTTAGTTCTACGACTTGCGCCCATTTTCAGAATCCTACACTAGCACGCAGAGCATATGAGCAGACCTATCACTTCGATTTATACATCCAAAGCCTACCATATATCTCAGTACGGAGTAGTCTTGTTGTTCCAAGAAATCGCCTCCCACCGTCTTCCAAGTTGTTGTATAACGACCTTCGTTGCAATCTTTACTGATTAGGTATGTGCTATTTCCTCGTGATAGAGAACCTACAAAGCTGATTCAAGCTAGTCAATAATCGATTCTCTCTACTCAGGCTGTACCTATATCATGTCTTCACCAACCGTTTTAGCTGGTCCTCAAATCTGGCTACACATCGATATGGAACAGTTTTCTAAATTGACAACTTCTGCACGGAAAGATACAGCGCAAACACCACCAATAGACCTCTATGTCTACAAAGCAGACGGATCGAAAGTTCTGATCGGACGAAAGTTCCCAATTGCAATTCTGCACCATCTTGCCCCTGGGACGCGAGAATGGACAATTAAAGCAAAAACACTGCCTAAGGAATACACTTTCAAAGCTGGCACCGTTGATGTGTTCGCCTGCCAGAAGATTCTCAGCTGGCTCCGAGACCAATTTCCTCCACGAGCGGACCTACATCATGGATCCAAGCAGGTCACGTTGGTATCATACGATGAAACTTTATCGTGGTATGTGACATGTCAGACATTAGGTCTTAGGCGGTGTTGTAGTTCCATTGGCCAGCTGCTCAAGTTCTATTCGCAATTTTCGCTAAGCGACCAGCAAATTCGTCGATCGATTGTTTTGCTAGACTTGCAATCCGAGCTGGCATACACCATTCTGGGAAACTATATCAGCAATTCCCCAATAGTTAAGCAACTGAAGGCTAGGCAAGCGGCAGAGAGAGAAAAAAGTCTGGTAGCCACGTTGAAAGTCTCGATGGAGGCTTTGAGCCAGGTAAAGCCCAAGTACCGGACCAAAGAAATCGAGGAGCTGGTCGCTCTTGTCAAGAAGCACTTGTGAAATTGGAGATCAGTCAAAATACCTAAATGGGACCCCATGAACCCGTCTGGCTCCCATCTGCTACTCTCTGGCATCGACTACGTTATTCCCATCGAGTATGTAGAAAAAGCTATGAGGTATCGAACTCGACGGGAACTAGAGCGTATATTCTTTATAGATTGCGGCGGTAGACATCGCAATCGATGGGAGTGTGCCATTTATCTTGTCAACCCCGTTGCGTGCCTAGGAAAGAACTCATAACACACCGGCATCGTCGCGGTAGTGCTTGCCAGGTCTGATTACACCCAAACAAAAACCAACCTTCACAGTTTCAATGGATGACTCGCAGTGCTCAACATCACTGAAACATATTTCTAGCCGATGCACCCTAATAAAAATCAACCAGCAGCATCCACAACAACACATGTTCCACAAGCTCGGTAGTTCATAGCCCGTCATGTCTTGGGTCCGCGCCTTGGATTGGCTAAGCGCCTTTTTTCAAGAACACGACGAAGATCACGTTCACATATATCTCGCCTGTCCAAGAAACGGCATGCCACGGGCAATTATACACAATTACCCTATCCAGTGCATGAATCGATTTCGCGTGCCAGTCGCCTATATGAATCTCAACGGCAGACCGGTTCCTCACACCATAATGCTCCCACCAGATAGTGTAGATCTCCGAATGGCGCGGACGATGCTATTGTGGCGCAAACATCATTCTCGCGAGCGGAGACGAGGGCCACCAATGCAATTTTCTTTGCATAACTTCCAGGCCATGATTAAGTACCGGTTGACGGCGAAGGCGTTGGGAGAATCGCAGGCAGCGAGGATTGCACGCGCACGTTTGTCAGACTATCTCTGGAGACTGGATAGAAGGAGACGGAGAATGGAAGAAAGACTAGCAAGTGTCCAGAGAATAGAACCATCCTATTTGGAAGAATGGACGAAGATCTTGATCCGGCATGAATATCTCGATTCGTGGAATGTTGTGTTGGACATGCGCACGAGACGTCGCAATCGGAGACGATTGAATCGTGATTTGAGGAGATTTTATATGCGAATTCATGGGCAACGATTGTTGGCGTTGCTGCCAGCAGCTGCAGCGATAGGAATTGGCAAGTTGGCATTTGAGATGTGTAGTAGGACTGGACACTCTCGCTAGTTATTTTGATGTGTGCAGGATAGTCTATCGTTGAAAATCGCATTGATCCAGCAATACAAGCTTTTAGTCTTCCCCGATGGGCATTCTAATGTTTTTGAGCGTCAATGAACAGGCGGAAATTTCCAGTACGGATTGGCAAAACAATTGGCGCCCTCTCCATCGGCCTCGTTGGCTGCCACATGTTACGTTTTATTATCGAGCGCTTTATTTGCCAAAGCATGTATAACCTTCCTAGCTTTTATCAAAGACAATGGGACACAAAGCATGTTTTCTTTGTTAGCGTCCATGGGAGCCATCGACCGTTGGTGGGAGCGTGCCAGTTGTGTTGCCATGCCGTTGGCTTTACTATCCTTGTGGGGCCAGGATTGTATCTCCGTTGATACTGCGAAGATGGTAAACCGGATGCTTTGTGATGCTCTTTTCTCGGGTAAAAATCCTCCAGATACCTACTTGTAAAATCCGCACAAGAGCAGGATCTCTGCGCGAACGTCTGCTTCTGTATCCAGCAGCGAGTAACTAGTTACAAGTGAATGACGTTCCTAATTGGAGAATGACGCCCCAAAGGTTGCAGTGAGAACTCATTGAGCAATGAATCTTCAATGAAGATGTCTCTACTCCTTAAAGAACTAAACAATACCTGAAACGGAGATGATAAAGGCCGGATTGAATGCTCTCCTTCCTAAAAAGCTTCATGCGCATTCACATCCTGACAGTTACCGCCCATGCAATCATACGCATCATAATCCGCGGCGACATCTTCGCATTTCTCTCCTCAGCACAACCAGAGAGCGCAGAAGCCAAGTACACGTCTGCCTATCCTCGACATTTGTCCAACTTTTCGGAATAGCCTCAACCCCTTCTCTTCTGAAGCTATCGGAAGATTCCTGAAGGTCCCTTGCTCTTGAATTTCCAGATTTTGGCACGTCAAGAGTCGTGACAGCTGCGTGAAGAGGAAAGCATTATTGATACGGAGAACAGAGTTAAAGAAGCGAGGAGAGTTGAGAGGTTGTTGAAGGTGGTTGCTGAAACGAGTAGGCACACGTGACAGCGCGTTATGCCAATCGCGTAGTCTTACTCCAACACCAAAATCTCCCAGGAACATCTCAGAACTCCCGCCGCATCGGGTCCTTTGCTTGTTCTTCTTTTAGGCGGCGATAGCTTGCGCATTTGTCTTATCTCGCGGGTTCTCTCCCTCCTCTTCTATCTCTCTTTTTCGACACCTCCTCACCCGCCAAACCGACCAGTCGCTCGCCACAATGGCCCAATCGGGGTCGGCCATGGAAGTTCCTGCGGATTTTACCGCACCGGAAGACTTCCTTGGAGACGGAAGAACGCCTTTGGCAACTGTGCTTTCCGATATGGACCGAGTCACTCGCTGCATGATCTGTGGCGAGTTCTATACCCAGCCTACCATTACCGCCTGTAGCCACACATATTGCGCCCTTTGCATTAGACAAGCTGCAACAAACACCGGTGTCTGTCCTACAGATGGAAAGAAGATCGACAAGTCTGCACTACGAAAGAAT